CAGAAACGGCCTTGGCATGGGCATCTCAGGACGGGCTTTGAAGGAAGAGGCGGGGCCCTGGACACAGCGACTGTCCAGTCCCTCTGGGAGAGGATGCAGGAGAGCCCGCTGTGGTCATGAAGGAAACAGGGACGGACAGGAGGACAAGCCTGGGGCACTGCCAGACTCCCTGAGGCTCCCGCTGACACAGGCCTGAAGTGACAGAGGATTTACTGCCTTCTGTGCTGGTCCTGATTGCAGAGATTTTATTGCCATGAAATACAAGTCATGCACCTTCCCAGAGAGAGAAGGAGGAAATAAATCTCATGTGGAGCAGGGAGGAGAGAGTATCCCAGTCTGAGCACAAACCGAACACTTTCCCCTTCACGCAAGTCCTCGGGCTGCGAAGTGCCCCTTGGCCAGCTGTTCTGGCTCTTCGGAACCTGACATTTAAATATCAGCAAGCAAAGGCCTCAGCTTGCAGGGCAAAAGGAGAATATATTTTGGTGAGAAGCAGGAACCCAGGAGAGGGACGTGTCCCTGCCCGATACCCAGACCTAGTACCTCCCAGGGGACTCGGGGCTTTGAGGGGGCAGTCAGGACAGAAGTCACCAAATTCAAAAGAAATAGAGCCTGAGAATTATTAAACAGGTTTATTAGGACAAAAGGCTCAGTGTTTCCTGACTCAATATAGGAAAAAGCTGAAGAAGAAGGAGAAAAATGCAGCTTCTTGATGCTACACCACAATCAAGCCCGAGCACAGGGTGGCAAGTGATTGAGGAGAGACGCTACCGCTGTGGCAATTGCTCAGCACAGAGAGAAGAGGAGATTCGGGGGCCCTGGCCGAGTGCGGCACCATCACTCTGCTGTCTCATGAGAATGAACTTGGAAACTGCTTTAGGACAATTTACTGTTGCCTGGGAATAATAAATTAGCAGGACTGCTTGGTGTTTCGCATTTCCTACTAATAAAATACCCGGCCAGGGTCACAGGCAAGATGACTGCAGTACAAACAGTGCCGGCTCCGGAACCCTCAGCACGAGGAGCAGCACAGTGAGAGGGGCCAGGCCTGTCCCACGGGGGTTGGGACCAGGGGCTGCCCCTCCACTCGGGGCCGACACTGCCTGACTCCCTCAGGGCTTCGCCAGCTCTGGCCTGGCACACGGGGCAGGGACAGTGAGGTTTCCCCTTCCCAGGGAGTGCACGTCTTCTCAATGAATGGAAGACTCCTTTAAGAGCCCCCACAACTTTGGCTGACATGCGCTGGGCTCCTAACCAACTAGGTCACGTGTCAGCCTGCATGCTCGCCCTGGAGGCTGGTATTGGGGGTCCTGCCAGTACCATCTCACCTCTGGTCTCCAGTGCCCAGGAGGACAGAAGGAAGGGGATGAGTCCAGACTCCTTCCCAGTCAGGGCACCCTGTGAAGGCAGCACTCGCCTGCAGCAGAGCCCCAGGCGTCAGAGCTCCAAGCACAGCAGTGCAAAGCCCGGCTGGAGCCCCACCTGACCCAGAAAGAGGTGTCAGAAGCCTCGGTCCACCCCCCCCACGCCGTGGTTAAGAGGACAGGACAAAGGCGCTGCGATTCTGCAGTGGATGCCGAGGCTGGGGCAGGAGAGGCCGGTGCAGGCCGTGCCAGCCAGCTGAGGCCCTTGGGGGAGGCCAGTGACCAGGTGGCCACTGCTGTCAACGCTGCAGCAGATGAGTGAGTGACCGGCTGCACGGGGCCCCTGGTCCCCATGGTGTGCTGTGCACGCCATCTCTGCTCCCGGGACGTCTGCTGCTGGACGTCCAGGCTGGCGGAAGCTCTGCTGGGCACAGAGCAGAAGTTTGGGAGGCCTCGTCCCATCCGAGGAGGCAGCGCAGTGCCAGAGGAGGACACGCCAGGGTCAGTCACACCAGTGCGTCAGCTTCCTGCCACTGTGACAAGGAGGCCAAGCCTTACAGGAGGACACATTTCAACCAGGCCACCCAGCCTAGCTCTGGGCTGCGGGGAGCAGACTGCCTACTTCTTGGGGACGGAGGTAGAGCAGGCTCTCAGGTAGGCCAGGCCTCAGCACAGCCCGGGACCTTCCTCGAAGCTCCCCACCTGCCTTGCAACAGCCACTGGATCACAACTCCCTTAGTCCAGCCTAGGGGTCACCTTCCTGAAGGCCACACCCCTGAGCACGGCCACAGGGGACCAAGCCTTGCACATGCCAGCCTCTGGGGACCCCAGACACCGCCGCCCAGGAGTCGAGCCTGGTTCCCCTCCCTGAGGCAAGGTCACTGTCCCCGCACTGACCGGCTCTGCTCTGGGGACAGCGGGATTGGTCGGGGCAGCCACCAGAGGGCAGCAGTGGGCCTCTCGGGGTTGCAGCCAGGGTTTCTCCAGGACACAGGACCAGAAAGATAAATTCCTTGCTGGACAATTCTTTAACATTTTGACTCTTTAAAAAATGACTATGAAAGTCTTCAGTCGTTCCTCCTGTTGGGCTGTGAGCTGAGGGGTGACTCAGGCTCTGTCCCTGCTCCCTGGGGACCAAGGGTGGCTGTGCACCCCGGCTGGGCGTGGGCTGCAGCCGCTGTGTCACACACTGTGCTGAGCCTGGCTCCTGCGTGTGAGGCGCAAAGGTGAGGTCGGTGCTCGCTACTGTTCAGCGCTTCTGCGTCACCCAAGAGTCACCTTACACAAGCCAGCTAAGGCACAAGCAGCCAGCAGAGTGGCCACACTGGCCCCAGGCCTGGACACTTCCTTCAGAGCTGCCCGACCCTCGGCTCTGGTGGCTTCATGTGCAGCCCTGGACACGTGGGGAGCTGGAGCCTCCTGACTCCCTGTCGTGTGCAGAGTGCTTTCCTAACCAAGTCAGAGTCCCACGCACCCCACATCTCAGAGGAGGAAACGGGGCTGACAGAGCTGAAGCCACTGCCCCCGGAGGAGATGATCAGGCCGGAGACCCGGGGCGTGGACCGCCGCTGCTCTCCCAACCCACACAGAACTGCCTCCCCACGGGTGCTGATGCACCCCGGCTCCTGGCAGGTGGGAGCTGCCGCAACTTATCAAGAGGGTCGGATCCCGGGCAGTGGGCAGGGACAGCGCAGGGGCTAACTGCAGAGAGGGAGGCAGAGGCCATCCGCACCTCACCCAGGGCCGGGAGCCCCGGCAGCACTCCTCACCGCCCACCATCAACACCACCCAGCAAAATCAAATGACGCAACTCGTGTGCTCGGAGGACGGCGATGCTCTCGGGTGCTTCCCTGGACAGCTCACCTCGCCGGCGCCAGCAGGAGCACGGGCAGCAGCGCCCCCTCCTGGGGCCCCACGACAACGGGCAAGCAGGGCACCCAGGAAAGAGCAAGAGAAACACCGTCGCCAGGCTCGCCGGGCACCTCGGGAGCCTCACTTTCCTCACCTGCTGCTTTTTTGTCTTCAAAGGCGCGAGCTCCCTGTCTAAGCTGGTCTCCAACTAGCCAGTGTTGCAGTCAGAGGGCTCACGAACCAACCCCGCCAGATAATTCAGAGACATGTGTTGAAAATAAAGACGTAAACATTATCTTAAAAAATAATGGGCACCCAGGGACCTTCCGCTCCCGGCAGCTGTTGGCCTGGCTTCCGTGTCCCTCCTGCTCATCTTCCCAGGTCTCTGCCTCTTGGTTAGATTTTGTTTCACGTCTACCTGACATTTCCTTGGGCTCCCTAAAAAGGGCTTTCCAAGTCCCCAGATGAAACTCATCAAACATGACTTCAAGAAACACATTTAACCCAAATTTGAAATGATTTGAATTTGAAAACCGGCCGTTTCAAATTGAAAGGCAAAGATGCCCTAAGCTGCCCTCCTCCTGTGGTTCCCTGGGCAGGGAGCAGCCCCAGAATTAGGAAAGGGCCCCTTTCCTCGACCCACACCCAGCTGGCCCCCAGCCCCGTCTGGGCCTTGGGGACGCTGTGCCCACCGGAAGGGAACAGGGCTGATGGGATGCCAGATCGAGGCCACGGGAGACGAGACACTCTGCGCATCTGCACTTCAGAAAGCCGAGCATGTGTAGGTAAGCAAATGTATGACACATGGTACACACTTCACCCCAAGTGAGCATCTCACAGGATTTAGGGTTGTTCCTACCAAGAGACTACTTGTGTATCTGAAATTCAGACTTGACTGGATGTCCTGCACTTCATCTGTCCGCTTGGCCCCTGTCCCAGGCCCTGGGCACGGGAGCCATGAGCACTGGGGGTGGGGAGGACACTGGCTCTCAGGCCTCTCCTCAGCCCCACCGGCCCCTGCTCTTCCCCGAGGAGGCTCCAGGCCACAACCCTGTCCTTTCCTCTGGAAACGAACCCTCGTGGATCCCTCCAGGCTCCTCCAGCGCCTGACCCGGAGGCCCCCAGGGAGGGGCCAGGGTCCCGAGAACGTGGGGCATCGGTCGGCTTGCTTCCTTCCCCAAATGTGGACACATGGGCTTGGCGGGGCTCTTGGGGGACGGCTCCCTTTCTCCTTTCCTTCTGACTCCGAGGCCAAGAAGCTCATGGGGCAGAGGCCAGGCGGAGGCACAGTGGGGCTGAAGCTCCATGGGCTCTGCCTTGGCAGTGGGTACACCGCCATCGCTACCTCAGACTCCCACACTCCGCTCTGCAGACTCCCGAGCAGGAAGAATGCGAGTGCTTCAGGCTCCCAGGGGTGTTTACAGCTGGGCTCTAACGTGCAGAAACACTGGCCAGACAAGATGAGGGCCGAGATTAACGAGGCCATGACGCGATCTGTTTTCATTTGGTGCAGAGAACATTAATTTCTGAAGACATCACATTTAACTTTGTAAGACTGTGCAGTTTAACCTTGACGCTTGAGACATTTGCTTTTATCTGCTCTTCTCCCCTCAAAGCCTAAGCATGGGGGAGCAGCTTTACCTGCAGTGGGGAGAGAGGCGGGTGATGGTGGCTGACAGAGGTGAGAGGAACACACCTGGGGAGCCGAGTTACTGCTCCTCCCTCCTATGGCAACACTGCTGCGAAGACCTGCAGCACGACCTGAGAAGGGCTGAGAGGTGTTACCTTCCAGAGCAAGGCACCGGGGCGGGCTGGACGACCAGATGAGGCTGTGCAGGCACTCGAGGAACTCAGACCCCTCGAGCTTGAACCCCGGGAAGCAGCGGTAGGCAATCACAGTCCCCACGGGGAAGGAGGTCTGGAATTCGGAGATGTTCACGTAGCCGTTGGAGGAGGCCAGGGGTCTCAGGCAGCCTGGGCAACGCAGGAGAGAAAGAGAAAGGTTTCACTCCCTTCTGTGCACAGCTGAAGGTCAAACGGGGCCAGAGCACTCTGGGGGCTCCGGGCAGACAGCTCTGTCCCTGAGCTGGTACTGTGGCCCCAACATGAAGACCCCGTGTTCCTACGACTGCTTCTGTCTGTAAGGCAAAGGGCACTAAGGGGGTCAGCTGAGCAGCGGCAGGGAGCAGGTGGCATGGATGGGCACATCCCACCAGGTGGTGCCCAGAGGGGCTTTCAGATCACACCGCCCAGGCCCCTGGGGAGCACTGGTTCTTAAAGTCCCCGAGCTGTCCTAGTGCCGCCAGGGCTGACAGCCACTAAGGGACCCACGAGAAAAGGACCCAGTGTTTCCACAGCAGTGATGGCCACAGGAGAGTCCGCTGCAACCTCAGTTCCACTGAGTCCAAGGTGGAGTGGCAGCGTGGCTGCAGCACTGCACATCCGGCTGGGGTTTGTTTGGCATCAGTGAGGAACCCTGGAGTGCAGTGGTCTCAAGCGTGGACGGGCCACGGGCTGCTGGGCACACCAGGGACCCTGCGGCTCAGGTCCAGGCAGGGCACTCCGAGGGAAAAGCAGGCACGGAGTTTCGTGTGCTGTCTGCATGGGGGACCCGAGCCCTACTCCCCTCCTGCATAAGCGACACTCCCTGGGTCCTCAAGCCTGGGCAGCCCAGCAGAGCAATCCCCACAGCTCGGACCTGCAGGGTATGGAGTCCACTGTGACCCCGGGGGTCTCAGGCACTTCAGGTCATTCCACTGGAGGGAGCAGGACCCTGTGGAGCCGCAGCTGTATCCGGGGGACACTGACTGCATGTGAAGCGAACAGTGTGTGCCGAGAACATCTGCTTTCAGCCAGGCTTGGTGGTGCACACTTGTGATCCCAGCACTCAAGAAGCTGAGTCGGAGGATCGCAAGTTCAGGCCCAGCCTGGGCAACTGACTTAGTGAGACCCTGTCTCAAAATAAAAACGTAGAAAGGGCTGGGGATGTACCTCAATGCAAAAATCTCTGGGTTCATAGCTAGTACTGCAAGAAAGAAGAGAGCAAGGGAGACAGAGCGCACACCCGCTCTCCTTTCCGGGCTCCACAGGCCACAGCATCTCACGCACCCACATAATGGCAGACAGCCTCACTGTTCTGCGGCCCGACCCTGTTCATTACCCCACGTGCCTTGGGGACCAAGCTGCCATGGACACCCCAGGATAAGGCACCGCTCCCCCTCCCCCAAGTGAATGACGGACGCAGTGGGCCAGGGGAGAAGCCAGGCCAGGCTCACCCTGCCCTCCCTCGGGCCCGAAGAGCCTCCTGCTCAGCAGCGCCAGGCCCTCCTCTGAGACGGTCTGCACCTCAGAATGCTCTGCTCGGAGCCAGACACGTGGGGGCTTGGGGGAGGGCCAGGAGTCGGGGATGAGCAGAATCAGCAACTGAGAAAAACGCCATCACGGAACATGCAGGCGCACCAGAACCCCGATGCTCTGCTCTCGTGGGTTGGCGCAAGCTGCATGCCCACCCTGCCTCCCGGCAGGAGCTGCAGGTCTCAGCTGCCCATGAGGGGAGCAGGCTTCCCACACACAGCCTCCCCCCACCTGGAGCAAGCAAAGGCATTGGGACCTTGTTCTCCCAAGCAAAGTTCCCACCAAAAAACAGCCTTTGAGCAGCCCCTGGACGCCCAAAGGGGATGGCAAGGCCTCTGATCCCTGCAGCTCCTCGGCATCCAGGACGGTGCAGACACAGCCTGCCCTGAACGGGGCAGTGGAAAGCACACCACACACTGGCTCAGTGGTTTCCGTGTGCACCTCTGGGTAACAGAAAGAAGCCCTTAGGTGTTGGCCCCGCCATCTATAGGTGCAAATACATGTCACAGAATAGAATGCCACTCTGAGGGCTGATTGTATTCCCCTGGGTGCCTGGAGAGGTGTCAGGCTGCCCGGGGCAACTCTGATTCCTCATTCCTGGTGCCCTGCCAGGTGGGGGCAGAATCCCACAGTGTGCATGCAGTGCAAGGTGGGCTGGGAGCCAGTGTCAACTCAGGAGCGGCCACCCAGCAGCCGGTGTGGCTCAGTGCAGAGCATCCACCCAGTGCGCGCTCACTGGCCAGCCGGGGCCTGGGGTCTGTGAGAAAAGCACAGGAGCCAGAGCAGTGTTGGGCAGGCGCAGCACAGCCACAGGACAGGGACTGGAGATAGGGCCAGTGGGGTGGGCACAGAGCAGCCAGCCGAGCAACAGGAGGGTGCATGCTCAACTCTAGGACACAGGACAGGGAAGCTGCATGGCCACACTCAGAACAGCATCAGAGGAGAGGTGCCCCAGGAGCACGCTGTAAGTGTCACAGAGGAAAAGAGGGTACGCAAAGGATCCCGAGAAATGTGAAGGTGCAGAGTGGCGGAGACCTGGACCCAGGACCCAGCCCAGGACCCAGCGTGGCCTCTTTCAGCAGTGCATGCAGACCAGGCCAGCAGCCCCGTGGTGGCTTCCGAGGAGCAGCAGGGACAGCACCTTCCGGAGTCTCTGTCCTCCTGCACCTCCAGCCTCATGGACCCAGGGTCAGGTCTCTTCAGCCCTGGTGTAAGGAAACAAGTTATTTCTGGCGACAGGGCACACAGAGCAATACTGGAGCCTGCCAGCCGTGATTTCCAAGCTCAAAGGTAACGCCAGTGCCTGGCACCAAACAAGCTTGCCCTCCCCTCCCTGAGAGCACACAGTATGCACTGGCTCCCTGGTCCTGTGGTCCAAGTCACGTGTCAGAAAATAAAATCAGAATCAGTGTGGACTCCAGGGTTATGTTCACAGACAGAGCTCTCCACATTCCAGGCATTTGAGATGATAAATATTCACGGTATGGCTTGACTAAAATTTGCATTTCATTATTTTCCTGTTCTTCATGCATTATAAAAAGGGATGACATTATTAATAGGACAATAGCCTCTGTATCTTGGGCTTCAACTATATTCTCACCACTGCTGCAGTAAGGAAATGCTCTCATTGCAAATGTTATAAATGCCCCGTGGTTTCCACTAAGTACACAACGCCTCATCATCACGTTCCCCACCTGATTTCAAGCCTCCTAACTGATAAAGCACTTCTGACTTCCTAAGGTGGAGGGGACAGCCAGAGTGCTGCAGGCCTTCCCCGGGTCACTGTGGACATGGGCATGCACAGGGTGGGGGGTCACAGAGAAGCTGGCGGCCCACGGGGTGGTGGCCTTGGTACAGCCACTCGCACACCACCTACCACACCGCCCAGGGGAGCCCGCAGCCAGGCACCTTGACAGAGGGGCAGGTTGTCCCACGTGCCGTCGTCTTGACACAGCGAAGCCACATTGTACAGGTCGGGGTAGCGGATCTTGAATCCCTCGTGACAGGCGATGATCAGCTTGTCTCCGTGTCTATACGTCTTGTTATGAATCTCAGCATCTTCAATCTGAGGCATGCGGCAAGCTGCAATTTTGAATCTAAAGCAGTTAACTCTTCACAAGAAAACTTCTCTGGACCCGCCTCACCGCCAGGGCAGTGGGACTCCTGGTAAGTCACCCCACAGGGGCACCGAGGGGCACAGAGCGGGTGCGACTCCTCACACTGCATGTGTGATCTTGGGAACCACTTGGGAAATGACACAGACAATATCGGGGGCTGCTAGGCTAGTGGGCGGTCCTCTGCTGCCTCTGGGGACAGGGCACGGAGCCACGCCAATCCCACCGCCTCACCCAAGCCCCGTGAGAAAGCACAATGTCCACGCGGCGTGGGTGAGCCCTGATTGAGCTGGCCATGCACAGTTCCTGTGCACTGAATCTGTGTTCGGGAAGACAGGCAAGCGCCCGAGCCTGCCAACCTCGCCAAGGCCTGGCACGGGCAGCTGCACTTCTGCAAGGAGGAGGGGGGAGGCCCGGTCCCCGTAGGAGCCCTAAGGAGGAGCGGGAGACATGCAGGTGGAGCTGTGCCCTTCTGCCCGCTGCCCAAGCCACGCTGCTCCTCCACAGCCCAAACACTCCCCAACTCAGCCCATGCAGCTCAAGTCACCGGCTCAGGAGGTGTCTTCTGCATCTCTCGTGAGCACACCTAAATTTAACCTTTCTGATTTGGTCATGTTTTTTCTTCTATTTGTGGTGCTGAAAATGGAACCCAGGGCTTCACACATGTGAGGCAGGTGCTCTGCACTGGGCTACAGTCTGCTCTGTCAGCACTTCCAAGTCTCCGTGCACACATGCCTGCTTGTGAGGGTAACCTGTGCGTGGACTGCTCCAAAGTTATGGGCTCTTCACTTTTTAAACAAAGAGAAATCCAAGGACAACAACTCCTCAGTCAGAAACCTCTCGGGAAAGCCTGGAGAGACGCCGGCTTCTCACAGCTCCCCAGGGCCTGCTGACCTGGAGGTACAGCTGGGGCATACTGACCAGAGCCCTGACCTCCAGAGGCTCTGGGCTCTGGGCTCTGGGCTCTGGTCCTGGAACCTGCTGGGACAATAGGAAGGAGCAGTGGTGCCCGAGGGTGCTGGGTAGTGTGGCTGCTTTAAAGCAGGACCCCAGGAGCAGCAGGGTTGGGGCTGGAGTCATAGGAGGGGTGGGGGATATGGCAGATGCACTTCAGAGACAGATACCAGTGAAGGGGAGGACCAGGCAGAGGGGCTCCCCCAGACGGGGAGGGAGGGGCAGGGCCAGCTCAGTGCCCAGTGTGGCACTGGAAGTCACTGTGTGTTCATCAGGCACCTTCACCCCAGCCTTTGTCACCCCATCAGCTGGAGAGCAGGACCCGTGTCACCCTCTCCTGCACCCCTCCCCGCTCCACCCCGTGTGCACACTGGCAAGGAGGAACTGAGGCAGAGCTGCCTGACCTCAGCCTCGAGGGCTGGACATCACTTCTGGTTTGGATCCTCCGCTCAGCCCCCGGGAACCTGGAGTCCACCTTCCCAAGCCATGGCCTCACTGGGAGTCCTGGCTGGGGGCTGTCTGGCTTCAATTTTACCTCTCATATTGCATTTCAGGCTGTGGAAAGCATTTCCTAACTGCTTGTGCTCAGCTGGTAGTGTTCCTGCAGGAGTAGCTGAATCCCCCCAGGTGGACCCCAGAGCAGTCCTGGTGGAGTTGCCCCAAAACGGACAGTTGTGTGCACACAGCCACTGACATCCCACCACCCGTCCTCTTAATGCAAAGTGTGAGTCATGCTTCCCGATGACTGCATGCAGAAACTATTCACAGCAAATAAAAACACATTTATCAAGACATCTGTCTGGGTAGTCTTGGCTGTAAATAGATCCTGTGGCAGTAATTTGTATGTCTAAGCAACTATTCTCTTGATGGACATATAATCTGCTCAAGAATTAATTGGCCAGTGTACTTGGGAGCCGGCCAGTTGTAAAGGGCCGCTGGGATGTCACAGACTTGTAGATGCCGTGGCCGGGAGCAGAGGGACTCCATCCGGCCACCAGGAGCTGAACAGAGTGTGCCAGGCTTCAGGAAGACAGGTTAGGAGGGAACCCCAGGGCCTGAGTTATGTGCTGTGCCCCAGAGGAGCACCCCAGGAGGGTGACAGGACACGGTGCCGTCGCAGGACTGCATACAAGGTGGGGAGCAGGAGGGCTGCGCCCAGTGAGAGCTGAGCTAACAGAGCAGCTCTAACAAAACCTACAGCTGGACGGGAAAAGCCACCCATAGCGGCTCCGAGTCTGCACAGGCAGGTGGAGGGGAGGCTGGAAGAAGGGGGACCTGGAATACGCATGTGCCCCGGTGGGCCGCCTGTGAACCTAAGACACTGTGGACCTGTTTCTATGGAAAGAAAGAATCCAGGCCCTTTATTATCAGAAGTAAATGTGTGATCCTCAACAACACTAGAGTTTCAAACAGAAGTACAGATGCTCCTGGATTTGCAACTGGTCCACCATGAGATAGAGCCATGGAAGCCGCAGACTGTGGACGAGGAAACTGTTTAACCGCCCCCCCCTTGATGCCCCAAAGCCTTGGGGATTTCCTGTCCCGATCTCCAGTTCCCAAGATAAACAGGAAAATCAGCAGCGAGGTTAGCATGTATGAATTTAGGGCCAGAGATTTAGCTCAGTGGTGCCGCTGCCTGCCTCGAAAGTGCAAGGTCCCAAGTTCGATTCCCGGTACCAAAAAAAACCAAACTATTAAACAATTTAGAAATCTAAAATATCTATCAATAGCATCAAAAAATCTGGATTTATAATTTGAAATCTAATAGAAGGTAAGACCCCACCCCTGTACACTATAAAACATTATTGGGAAAAATTGTAAACAAGATAAATAAATGGGGGAATATTCCATGTTCTGCAGCTGGAAAACTCAATATTGTAAAGGCATTATTTCCCCCGAACTACACAACACAATCATATTAAAAACTCAAGTTTGTGTTGACACACAGAAATGCAAAAGGCCAAGTCTTGGAGTGGCAGAACAGGAGGACGCTCATTCTCGAAATCCAGGCCTTCCTGCAGCAGGACCCTCTTCGTGCAGACTGCCGGGCTGAGGGGCTGGGACAGGGTGGCCCTGCAGAGCCGGTGCTGTGTCCTGGACACAAACCAAGTCGGAGATGCCAAGGGGAGAGGCGGAGCAGCGAGGCTCTGAGAAGGCCGAGCCTTTGCCGGCAGACTAGGCGGCACACCCAGCATGGACTCCAGCGTGGGCCCGAACTTGGACTGCTGGGAGCCTGGGACCAGGCTGGGAGCCACCACCAGCACTGGGCTGCTGGACTGTCCGGACTGTCCGAAAGGAGGACGGATTCCACCCACCGAGACGCGTTCTTCCCGGCAGCCGACCTAAGACTGCTGTTGCAGCCCGGAGCTTGTGAACAGCTGCTTCCTGTGGAATCTGCAAAGCCAGCTTGGTGTTTGCTGCCGCTGATGCTCTGACACGGGGCGGGACTTGTGAGGCTGTGGATCCCACAGCCCCGAAGCCCCTCCCCGCCCCAGGACGGCAGTGCTAAGGCGCTAAGGCGGGCGGACCCCAGGGCTGGTGAGGCGAGCCTGCAGGAGGAGTCACGCTGGGGTGCGGCAACCGGCACTCACAGGCAGCCAAGCGGGCCCTGCAGAACTGAGGCTTTCTGTCACTGCTCTTTACTGGCTCAGCCCCGGCTGACCTAACCTCACTTCCTGTGGATTTCTTTTCCTTTCAAGTCTTGGGCACATTTAAGTTCAGGAAATCTTTTCAAGAACAAAAAGCAAATTCACCGAAGCCTCACAGGAGGGAGCCTAGGAGGAAGCAGCACTTCCTGTCAGAAGCATGCAGGGGTTGCCTGGGGCGACCCAGGGCAGGATCTTCTGGAAGACGCCCAAGCGCTCCCCCAGGCACTCGGCCCTGAAGGCAGGGCTGTTGGTGCAGAAAGCTCAGGTCTAAGGCAACAGGAAAGACATTCAGATGACAGAAAATACACAGGAGAAGAAGAGGATGCTAAATAGAACCTCTCCATCCGTCTCTCTGGCAGCCCCGGAGCTGGGCACCGCTCACTGTA